CAGTGTTGGAAGGGACCTCCAGGGTCATCTAGTCCAACCCCCTGCACAATGCAGGAAATTCACAAATACCTCCTCCTCCACACCCCCAGCGACCACTGTTCCACGCCCAGAAGATGACCAAAAAAAAAAACCCCACCAGGATCCCTGGCCAAACTGGCCGGGAGAAAAATTGCTTCCTGACCCCAAAGTGGCAATCGGCATTTCCCTGGGCATGTAAGAAAAGGCAACGAGAACTAAGCACTGAGGCAACCCTTCCTGCCCTCCCTCTCATGATCAGCCTAAGTTCATAGAATCCGCATTGCTGTCAGATGGCCATCTAGCCTCTGTTTGAAAACCTCCAGAGAAGGAGAGCCCACCACCTCCCCAGGAAGCCTGTACCACCGAGGAACCACTCTAACAAGTCAGGAAGTTCTTCCTAATGTTTATCCGAAAACTCTTCTGATTTAATTTCAACCCGTTGGTTCTGGCCCAACCTTCTGGGGCAACAGAAAACAACTCTGCACCATCCTTTATATGACAGCCCTTCAAGTACTTGAAGATGGTTCTCATATCACCTCTCAGTCGTCTCTTCTCCAGGCTAAACATACCCAGCTCCTTCAACCTTTCCTCATAGGACTCGGTCTCCAGGCCCCTCACCACCTCCACTGCCCTCTTCTGGACACGTTCCAGCTTGTTTATACCCTTCTTAAATTGTGGTGCCCAAAACGGAACACAATACTTTAGGTGAGGTCTAAGCAGAGCAAAGTGGTACCATCACTTCGCGTGACCTGGACACTATACTACTGTTGATACAGCCCAAAATTGCATTTGCCTTTTTAGGAACCGCGTCACATTGCTGATTCATGTTCAATGTATGGTCTACTAAGATCCCTTTTTGCACAAATTACTGTGATCAAAGCCCTTAAGAGGAGGCAGATCCGGATTATGCCTAATAGAGCCAGAGGTCATTTCGGGGGGGATCGCAGTGAGGTACGGGGGGGGCACATGACGAAGCCCCGCCCCCTGCTTCCGGCCGCCCCGCTTCCGGCCCTCATTCAGCCAGGAGGAGGCAGGAGAAGAGGGAGGGTAAGTTGCTCCCCCCCTGCCTCTCCCCACCCCTGCCTGCCTGGGGCCAGGGACGGCCTTCGCGGGGCTTCCTTGCACTCCCACCGGCCTTGCAGGTCCCCCACCGGGCCGCTCATGGGGCTCGGCAGTGGAGCTGCAAGGCCGGCTTATGACAGACTTCCGGTGATGTCAGGGTGTGTGGCCTTATGACAGACTTCCGGTGATGTCAGGGTGTGTGGCCTTATGACAGACTTCCGGTGATGTCAGGGTGTGTGGCATATGCTAATGAGTTATGCTAATGAGTTCCCCTAGCTCTTTTTCTACGAAACGACCCCTGAATAGAGCTATCTGAAGCAGTGGCATGATCGGGACCAACATTACTCTAGAAGAATGTCAAAACTGAAAGGATGGTAGCCAGGTCTTTGGCTCCTTGGTTCCAAGGAGATGACATCATCACTACTGGCATGAAGTCACCAGCCTTCTCCAAAACCAGCTGTACCGGAGGGAGGACTCATTTTGAACTTGCACAGATGAGACTGGCTCCTCCCTTTAGACCTCTCACGAGGGGACTGATCCCCGGGGTTAGAATTTGTCTCTGCCTTCTTAACAGATGGTTCTAATTGGCTCTGGTAATTTTCCTTGTCTCCAGTGGTTTGTACACTAGAGATGTTGTCTTCTGCCTCTGCAGCAGTAGATTTCAGTCCTGGCCTTGGAACTGATGTAGATCACGAATCATGTTTCAAAGAAACTTTCTTCTGCTCGGAAGAAGGTGGGATTGTACTATATGAACCATCTAAAGCCTTTCCCTGCAGAGCGGCTTTGAGGCGCGATGGCCTAGCGTTATGGGCTTTGGAGACTGGTCATCCCCTGACACAATAAGCACAGGGAATGATTGCCCAATTAGGCCCTCTTTCCTTCACAATGTGAGCACTTTTTGAATAAAGCCTTCTGCACCCTGGAAAGAGATGGGCCGGCAGGCAGGCAAAGAATGATGGGGAAGAAAAAGACCCCCCCCCATATAATGAAGCACAAAGAACTCCCCAAATTGGTCTTCTCTCTGCAGCAGCAAAAAGAGAACTGAATGATGAGAAAGCGGGAAAAACCACTGAAAGAGAGGGGGAATATCCTGCACTCTGAGACTCTTCAGAATGCCCCGTGGCTAACGTGCGCAAGCTCCCATGTGGGACGATACAGACATCGTGAAGACGAACAAATAGCTATAGATAAATATTAAAGGCCTCAGGTAAAGGTAAAAGTCTCCCTTGCTCGAAAACCAGTCAAATCTGACTCTAGGGGGTGGTGCTCATCTTCGTTTCCAAGCCGAAGAGCCAGCGCTGTCCAAAGACATTTCCGTGGTCATGTGGCTGGTATGACTAAACGCTGAGGGGCATGGAACGCTGTTACCTTCCCACCGCAGTGGTACCTATTTATCTACTTGCAATTTCTTGCTTTCAAACTGCTAGGTTGGCAGGAGCTGGGGCCAGAGATGGGAGCTCACTCTGTCACGCGGCACTCAGGTCTCGAACTGCTGAGCTACTGACCTTCTGGTCTGCAGACAGGAGGTCTAATGCCCGAATTGTTCCCTAATTATGGTCTAACCTGAACTGTCCCCCTGGGCCTGTTACCAGGATAAACCCCAGCCAAGCCATTGGTGAAGGCAGGCATACTGCTCTCCTTTGCCACGAGAAAACCAATCCTTTACACAGGGCAATGAGGTGCAGAACACTGGCGTTCAGCAAATAGCCAGACTTTAGTTTTTCTTCCTTTGGAGAGGATGGATAAGATGGTTCAGCAAGGCTTCATCATGATTCCACAGGGATTCGTTACAGAAGCCCATGAAGATCTTTTCCAGTATAGGCAGAGCACGGCCCTCACTCACAGACCTTCCGTAACCTTTCTCACGGTCTGCCAGCTAAGATGCATTCTAAAATCAAACGATGTACGTATGCGACAACTGAAGCTAAGCTACACCCCTCCCTAATCAATAACCAGAAAATTTTATAACGGTGACGCAATAAGAGGGATTCATCTATTATACGATGATGCGTATAATACGAACTGCCTGTGCGAAGACAGGAAGTTGGCTGATGGCGGGGGAGACTTATGCAGGGACTGGAAAGGGACACGGCCAATCGCAGGGGGTGGAACAAAAGAAGGCGCCCCTCAAGCCACTTTTTCTGGATAGAAAAAGTGGCTCGAGGAGCAGCGTATCAGCATCCTATGGCATGAGGCTCATGGTTCAGGAGGTCCGTGGCTTCTCCGTGGCACGTGCGCTTCATTCTACTCCCTCAAGTCAGTTCTTTCAACAGTGGCCAAGAGGCCTAGCAGTCAAGTCATTTAAAGAATTAGCAGGATTCTTTTTTAAAAAGGGAGCTGGATTTCCCCCCCCCCTTTACACCCTGGCTTCTGATACGACTACGTTATAGTGAACAAGACAGGAAAAAGTGGCCAGATTTCACCAAGTCATAAAAAGGGCCAGATTTCAACAAGACATAGAAAGGATCTGGTTTGAAGCGGGCCAACGGACTGGTGCCCCACTGGAGTTCAGGGCAGGCATCGCTGCTGGGAGATCGGGCAGTGCCCTCCGTTCACAACTCGGGTTCCTGAAGGGTCATAATCTCTGTGACGTTCCTCTAATGCAGCACTTCTCAACCTTTTCGGCACGGTGACCCGCAAGTTCAAATTTACTTGGTGCGGCGACTCCTCCAGGGCTGGCCTAAGGTTTTGGGCGCCCCTGGGCAAACCATGACCTCGGCCTCACTCTAGTTCAGCATTCCGTTTCCTACAGCGGCTGGCCAACAGACAACGTACAAAGGGTGCAGCGGTTATGAACCCCGTTGCAACAGACTCATCCTTTGCGTGGGGAGGGTAACATTCCAGCCTCTGGCCAGCCTCTCTCCTTCTCCATTATTTCCTCTTCCCCCCCCCCCCCCATCTCACTCCCTCGAGTGATCATCAGGACATGTTTTACTTGATCAACATGGAGACTCAGTGGGAAAAAAATACCAACTAATGTATGACATGGAAAATCTTGGTTTCCGATATACAAAAGGGCAGGGGCGGCCACTAGGGAGGGCTGGCCTGCGACCCACATGCAGAGGCTTCACGGCCCACTTCTGGGTCCCGACCCACAGGCTGAGAAACCCTGGTCTAATGCATGATGCTTTGATGCCACGTTCCTGAACTCCGTTAAATACATTTGGCAAGGGCCTTCACCCTTCTACTAGCGATCTCCCTCGGGTTGCCAAGTCGAAAAAATCTACTTACCGGGGGACTCCCGGTCCGCGGCTGGAGCATGCGCGCTGCACGCACGTCACCGGGAAGTGACGTTATGACGCCGGGCACGCTGGGGGCAGGGCCACGATCATCCGAGAGAAAACCATAGAGTTTTCCCTCGGATGACCGTGACCCCGCCCCCAGCGTGTCCGGCATCATAACGTCACTTCCTGGTGATGCACACGCCGGGGGGACTTGGGAAGCCTAGATCTCCTTGGGGTTTGACTTCATATTCCCAGTACATGAAGGGTGCGCCCTCGGAGTACAGATCACTAGCATAACACATTCTGATATCCACTTGTGAATGCAATCTTTTATTAAGGGGAAAAACAACAACATAAAAACAGAAGCAGCGGGGCACCGCGTTGGCAACACACCCTAGTTCTACACCAAAAGCAAAGCACTGCAAAAGCACACGGGGGGGGGGGGGAGGAAGAAAAACAAATGCACTGAAGGAAACACCAAGAACTTCCCGCAGCCATGCACAAAGTGGCAAAAGCACTACGAAGGGAAGGAGAGGGAAGCTCACACCGACTGACGGCCCTGCTTGGCCAACCTCTGGAGGAGTGCAGGCGGGGGGGGGGGAGGCTCAGTGGGATGTGCTTTGAATCGCCTGGCGTAAGCGTGGCCCACATGCAGCTTGCCGCAAAGGTTTGCCCCCGCTATGCAGTTTTACTTACTCCTTCAGAGTGAGGGAGTTCCCCGTTGCTTTGGCCGGAGGAATACAGATTGACGTATTCGCCCTCCCCGGCCTCCTCACCGGCGTTTTCACTCTACGGGAGACAGGACGAAAGGAAACGGGTGATGGTGCTTTGAGACCGGAGCACTGAAGATCCAGCAAATCGTGAGCGGTGAGGGGCCCCACTGCCACTGCGCACCCCCCCCCCCACCTTGGAGAAGGCAGACAGAAGGCGACTGGCATTCCGTTTAGCTCTGGGGTCTTCCAAGGCAATTCATTTCTAACATTCTTGCTTAAAGAGGAAAAGGGCATCTACAATGCTTCCAGATGCATTCAGGCTGTACAGCTGGGCCACACAGGGTCGGAAGATCACTCTTGGAAAGAGACCCATCAGGATGGAATTTGACACCAGAACCACCTTCCAGATCACCCTTCCCGAATTTCTGGTAGCTCAGCTATGACTGGAGGAACGACTGCGCCCCACGCATTTTTATGCTTAAGGTGGGAGTAGTCAATATTGTCTGCCCTCCGAAAAGCCTGTGCTTCTCTGCATGGCCCACTGGACAACGAGAACCGGGGACTCTTGCGGGCGTGTATGGGGGCATCTTCTCGGCTACTTGTGCTGCATCTCTGCATTGGAACAACGGACTGCACCCAATGCACACATTCAGCAGAACTGCATGCCTGGTGGCAGAGCCTGGTTGGGAGGATGTAAGGACAGAGCAGTGACGCGCGTGGAGATGTGGCGGCGGGCTTCTTCGGTGGGGCGGTACTCTGGTCCCGCAGGGTTTTCCCCGTCATCCGGTCTGGAGCTGATAGCTTAGTGCCTTTAAGTATTCTAAGCCCCCTTTGGGGTTTGAAGAGGGAATGCGGGGCCCTTGCTTGTTAGCCGCCCTGAGCCCATTCGTGGGGAGGGCGGGGCAGAAATTCAAATAAATAAATAATGTCTCTTCCCGGAGCGTGGACACTACGGGTGGATTTCTTAAAATGTGCCCCCCCCAAAAAAACCAAAATATTTGGGCCACCTGCATTAGAGCTGAACTGCTTCCTCACTGACACAGGAGTGGCTGAGACAGTGAGCAGAGAGCCAGGACGTCAGCAAGCCAGCCCCTCGCCTACCGTCTGGTCCTTAACTGGAGATGCCAGAGAGTGAAACGGGACCTTCTGCCACTGAGCCAGTAGCCTCTCCCTGGGGCATTTAGGGCATTTCCCTCCCTTACGATGCACCCACCTGAGTGTCTGGATGGAACCCACAACTGCACTAACGCTAAACTCTCGCTGTCTACCCACACCAAGAGAGCTCGAAATCTGTCTCTGTTGCATGAGGATTGCCAGGGGATCTAGACAGGGCACTGGGCCCAGTACCTTTTCCACCACCACCACCACCACACACACACAAACACAGAGCGTTGCACGATCAGAGCTCTCACCGAAGATGTCTGGAGAGAATCAGTGAAAGAGGTTTCAGAAGGGAGGCAGACAGAAGCAGTCCCGTTAAAGCTGCTCTCCTGAGAAGAGGAGGTGGCCCCGTCCGCAGTGCTGAGCGACTGACCGCCCGCGGCTGGCACGGCCGCCGGGTCGGAGTTCGGAGGCTGGTGCACGGGCGGGAAAGGCAGAGGCGGGGAGGAGATGGCGGAGGTAGATGAGAGAAAGGGAGGGACGGAAACTTGGTTGCGAGGCACAAAGTCTTGGGAGTAAGACCTGAACACCGATTTGTACTGCGGGGGGCGGGGGGGATGGCGACAGTGGAGGGAATGAACCAAACCAACGTTAAGGGGCAGGAGGGAGGGGGTGAGGAGGGGAAGGAAAAGAAAGAGACAGAGAAAAAGAGAAAGAGATTAGATCAACAGCAGTGGCTGGTAGCAGGAGGACGGCCCACGCAAGACGCAAATCCCTGCCTGCCCTGACACTGAGAAGCTAAGCAGGGTCGGCCCAGGTCAGGATTTGGATGGGAGACCTCCAAGGAAGACCAGGACTGTGTTGTAAGCCACTCTGAGACACCTTTGGGTAGTGAAGGGCGGGGTATAAATCCAATCTCCTCCTCCACACTTTCTAACTTCACACTGGGTTGGGTCTAGGCTTGCCAGCTCCGGATTGGGCCGTCCCTGGAGATCTGGGGGAAGAACTTGTGAAGGGTGGTGGGAGGGGCCTCCGACGGGTACGATGCCATGGCATCTACCTTCCAGAGCAGCAGCTTTCTCCAGGGGAACTGGACTCTGGAGAACAGCAACAATTCTGGTAGATCTCCAGGCCTCACATGGAGGCTGGCGACATTAGTTGAGACCCACAGCTCCATTCGGCTATCGGAAGACAGGCCGGACGGTGGCTCCTTCCACTGGAGGAGAGCAGTGCCTGAACAGACCCAACCCGGCCATCTAGCTCTGTAATCTTGGGCTGGTTTGCATCTCTGAGCTCGGTTTTGCAAGCCAACGGGGAAACAGAGTGACCAGAGCCCTAGCTTCTTGACCACAGGAAGTCTCACTCGGCTTCCCCTATGCCCGCAAGTGTTGCACAGACCGTTTTGAGCACATCTTTGCAGCCACGTCAGAGTGAGGAAGCTGCTTCTCTTGAAGGAAAGAAAAGATTGAGAGTCTCTGGTGACGACATTCTACATGCAACCCGATTCTGTGCCTTTTCTCTGTGCTCCCATGGAACTGCAGTACATGCTCCAATATGTGCCTTTTCTGCAGATACATCATGCAAGCAAAGAGTGTGGCGCTGGCTGCAGAATTCAGCCTCCTGAGCATCACCACTTTCATTTAAAAAAAATACAGTTCCAGAGGGTGGGTCATGTTGGTCTACGTGATGGGAGCACGAAAGAACAACCGGATTCGAGTCTAGTAGCACCTCAGCGGCCAACAAGATTTGGTGGGCATGGGCTCTGGAGAGCCAAAGTGATTTACTCTCGAAAGCTTCTATCCCCAAAATCTTGTTGGTCTCTAAGATCCTATTAGACTCAAATCTAATTTAAAAAAGAGTTGCATGATCTGGTCCATGGGGTCGCGAAGAGTCGGACTTGACTGTGCGACTGAACAACAACAAAGCCCATAATCAAGGTCTGTGTCTGTGTATGTGAGTTTCCGGCTAAACATTAGGAAGCGCTTCCTGACAGAGCGGTGCCTCAGTGGAACAGGCTTCCTCGGGAGGTGGTGGGCTCCCCTTCTCTGGAGGTTCTCAAACAGAGGCTAGATGGCCCCATCTGACAGCAATGCGGATTCTGTGAACTTAAGCAGATCACGAGAGGGAGGGCAGGAAGGGTTGCATCAATGTTTAGTTCCTGTGGCTCTTTCTTACACTCCCAGGGAAATGCTAATCACCACTTTGGGGTCAGGAAGCAACTTTTCTCCAGGCCGGTTTGGCCAGTGATCCTGGAGGTTTTTTGTCATCTTCTGGGCATGGAACAGGGGGTCACTTGGGGGGTGGGGGGAGGTGTTTGTGAATTTCCTGCGTTGTACAGGGGGTTGGACTAGGTGACCCTGGAGGTACCTTCCAACTCTATGATTCTATGATTCATAGGGCTGCATGGATAAGATCACACAGGCCGTGCCCAGCCAAAATCACTGACGCTGGAATGTGCATGTAGTGGGGAGAGTGGGGGAGGGGAGAAGCTGGTTCTGCAGAAGTCTGAGGTCAGGGTTTCCACGTCGCTTTTGTTCCTTTCCATAAACAGCAGAGGAAGAAGTATGCAAAATACGGAGAAACAGGCACACTTCAAAAGATATACGCAGGCCACAGGCATTTGCTTTCTGTGGCACGCAGGCTCTTTTGGCCAACATGATTTCATACATGCTGGGCAAGAACCCTGCCAGAGGACACCTGACTGCTGTACCGTGGGAATGGCTGCACCAGGGTGCATCACACACACACACACCCAAGCATACAACATGCAGAAGGTCCCAGGTTCGATTCCCGGCATTTTCAGCCATGAGGATCACAAGAGAGGAGAGAGGAGAGACCTCTACGCCCAAGACGCTGGGGAGCGGCTGCTGGCCAGAGCAGACAACATCGACCTTAACGGACCAACGGTCTGGCTCGGCAGAGGCAACCTCATGTGTTCGTGACGCCACAGACTCAACAACACAGAGAATGCCAAGATCTGCTTCCTGAGAAGAGCATCAGAACGAAACAAGTACGGGCTTGCTAGGTGCCATCCGCACATCACCCTCCCCAAGTGAAGAACGGCAGGTACGAAAGCCTGACGTGGGAAGTGGACAGTGGTCACAAGAAGTTTGCCATGATGTGTGATCGAGCAAAACAGCTGGCAGGTGGTGAGGAGACACTCCAAGCTCAATCGAGGTGGGGTGGGGTGGGGTGGGGTGGACAAGTCTCCTCCGCGGCCAACTTGCTCAGTGTTTCCATTTCTACTATTATTTCAGATCGATTTGATTTTCTGGAAGGGGCTGTGGCTAACTGGTGAAATCTTTGTTGAGGGAGAAGACTCCCCGAATATCTTTGGACCAGTCACTGGTCACTCTCTCTCAGACTAATCCACCCCGAAGGACATGGACTAAGATCATGTCCATGTATAAAATATCATGTATTTCCTGAATATGTTCAGAATATGCTCAAGAAGAAGATGAACCTTTTACCACATGTGGTGGGAGTGCAGTAAGATACAAAAATTCTGGAAAATAGTAAGGGAGGTGCTCCCAAAAAAGTCTGGGCAAAAATGTGGCCCTGACACCGGAAATATATTTGCTGAATATGATCCCGAAAGGGTATGATAAACAGGATGCGTATATTATCAGTTATGTTATAACTGCAGCTAGATTATTAATAGCCCGACAATGGAAAGTAGATTCTATACCTACAAGGGAAGATTTGTTAAATAAAATATTGGAAGTAGCCAGAATGGATGATTTAAGTCTAAGGATACAAAATAAAAATGAGATGGGACATAAAAAGAGATGGGACAGAATACATAAATGGATAGAAGACCAGATAGAACTGTAACTGAAAAGTTATATTATGGCTTTGTATCAGAAAAGGAATATCAATGCTCGGTAATGTAAATAACTAAAGTGAAATGACTCTGACGTGGAGTGTAACGCAAACTGATGAAAAGTAATTGTGTAATACCCTTTGTTTAAAACAATAAAAACTTTAAATACAAAAAAAAGAAGAAGATGAAGAAGAAGAAAAAGAAGAATTGTCAATTTTTGGTTAACTATTTGGTCTAATTGTTTTCCTATTAATTGAGGCATGTTTCCTGATTATGCTGAGAAGAAAGCAGTCGGTTTTGATGGGTCCTTTGGCCTAACTGTTTTCCATATTTCATTACAATAAAATACAAGGACTTCCTCCTCATTTGACTTCATTTTAGACGTGGGATCTAATGTTTACAACAAATCTGAAGCCAGCCCGCCATGAAAGCCCTGCAATATGGCGGAGGCACAGAATGGCTTTGCACGTATCACGGAAGTTAAGGGAAGACCCAGAGCCTCTTCTTGGGTCCACTTCAAATGTGCGTTTTTTACGACTCGTGAAAATGTAACGTTGAAGCAGAAGGGGACCACCCAGGTGAAAAAGTGTAAATGCCAATGGCAGGGAGGTGGTTACAGACTGCCAAGGGGCATGTCCTCTCTGACGTCACCCATAACATACGTAACGCCCACAGCCCTAGTGCACCCACTCCACTCCACCATACCCTTCACCAGTGTTCCCTCTAAGATGAGTTAAGTGTGAGCTAGCTCACAGTTTTTTAGCCTCCAGCTCACACATTTTTGTCTGAGCTCAGGAAGGAGGGCTCCAGAGCAAACCAATTTATGTAGGAGCCAAATGGCTCGCTCACAAATTTAATGTCAGTAGCTCACAAAGTGGAGTTTTTGCTCACAAGACTCCACAGCTTAGAGGGAACATTGCCCTTGACTGCTGCAACATGAGGACAACGGACATACATTAAGTGGGCAGCTCCACTGGGGCTGCGACCTCAGGATATTAAATTATAATTAAAAAAACAAGTTTCTAGTCTTCAAGATCGTGGACAACGTCAGCTGATGCCCCGGAAATCAACTAAGCTGCTGAATAACATTCTCAGTGGATGTGCAGTTGACGGGAGGGCCCTTCAGCGCCTTGCATAGGTCCTTTCCACTTCCAAGGACTGGTGAAGTCAAAATAAAGTATGCAAATATATTATGTACATGTTACCTAATTTACCGGTTACCAGTCACCATCTCTCAACATCAAAAAAAAAAAAAAAAAACTAAGATCATGGCATCCGGCCCCATCACTCCTTGGCAAATAGAAGGGGAAGTCATGGATGCAGTGACAGATTTAACGTTCCTGGGATCCAAGATCACTGCAGATGGTGACTGCAGCCATGAAATTAAAAGATGCCTGCTCCTTGGGAGGAAAGCAATGGCAAACCGGGACAGCATAATAAAAAGAAGAGACATCACCCTGCCAACAAAAGTCCGTAAGGTCAAATCAATGGTATTCCCAGTAGTCATGTATGGCTGCGAGAGTTGGACCATAAGGAAGGCCGAGCACTGTAGATGCTATCGAATTATGGTGCTGGAGAAGATTCTTGAGAGTCCCTTGGATTGCAAGGAGATCCAATCAGTCAATCCTGAAAGAAATCAACCCTGACTGTTCCCTGGAAGGCCAGATACTGAAGCTGAAGCTCAATTTGGCCACCAAATGAGAAGGGAGCACTCACTGGAGAAGACCCCGATGCTGGGAAAGACTGAAGGTCAAAGAAGAAGGGGATGGCAAAGGA